ATACATTTTTTGAGTAGTTTTTCTAATGAGTTAAACAGGATAGAATACAAAAAGATAGGAGTTACACTGTTACAGTGAATTAACTCAAGAAAAATTATTTCTAACTCTGGATAAACAGAAAATCTCATTTGACATAAAAAACATAGGATTTCTTACCTCAGTGTTGAACCAGGAGCTGAGATGTCAGTGGAAACTGGGATGAATCTTTGTTGGAATGGGATTTTTCTTCTCTCTGAGTGAAAACCTAAATGTGCTGCTGACGTTCTCTCCAGACAATGGGTGTAGAAGTGAGAGCAGGGCGCCCAACTGCTGCTACTGTGTTGAAGTGCGTCACAACTTGAGGCCTTGCAAGATGGTGGACCAAGTTGTCGAGACAGTTTTCATTTGTTTGTTCCTCTCTTTCCTTGTGCTCAGTAGGAAGTTCTCATCTGTCATTAAGTGTCATTATAACCCATTACCAGATATTTATCTTGGAACTACTCCCTTCCTCTTTCCCTCTCTCTTTCAGTCTTAAGATCTGGGTGTTGCTCCACCAAGGGTTTGTTTGGGCTGTGAACGTGCTTTTCTTTGTTAAAACATTAGCCTGTGAACTTCTCCCATTTCTTATGCCATTGGCATAGAGCTGCATCAGTGGTCTTACTTTAAAAACTTTGGGACCTGAGGTGGAATAAACTTTTTGAAACAAATGGGAAAATAAGAGAGCAACCATAAATAATTACATACATGGGTCACAACCTGTCCGAGGTGTACCCCACCTCTTGTCCAATATCCTGTGTATGTTAAGCAGTATTGATAATGGAATGATGTATAAATGTGAATGAAGGGGCCTAACCTGGTGTGTGGACAGCGAGTGAGAGAGATTGGCAATATACATGTGATTGCTGACTTTTTACAGGTCAGTGCTGTAGCTCAGGTGGAGTCTGAGTCAGTCAATAGGCAATAATACTAAATAGCCAATTGGGATGTTGCCAGCAGGGTGTTACTGGCCTAATTGCAGATATTTATAGACGTGTGACTTGTACTACATTGATAAACTCGTTACTGAACTATTTGTAATTTGTATTATATGTTACTGCCAGCAAAATATATGTATATGAATCCTATTTATTGTTGCAAAGCAGTAAAATAGCTAATAGGGAGTCATTATGGAGATTTGTTTATTAAATTTGTGATCATGATTGTGCTTTAGTGTGCCAAACATCCACATTACACAAGTCCTCACCTTCTCCACCACCAGAAAAACATTTCAAATCCTTGCCTGCTCCAGCTACATTTAGTCCAGCTGAGGGTACAGGTCAGAAGTCAGGGATTGTTTTGTGGAGAGCTGGGGGGGTAATTCTATTGGCCCTGGCACTCACAGGATGAAGATGATGATAATTGGCTAAGTGTTGGATTGGGTGGGAGTGGGCGGGGCAGGGGTAATCCAATAGATGGACTCAGTGAGCATATTTCTGGAGCAAAGAAAATCCCACTGCAAAATAAGGCAGAAATGATAATGACAGGATGTTATAAACAGATACAGTGCATGAAAGATGATGATAATGTAAATTGTTTAATCAGAGAATGATGAAGTGAGTCTGATGTGCTGAATAAGGTGAACCCTGCTGTAGGGGGATGGCAACTGACAATCAAATACAATATAACATACAAAGGATTGGGACTGAGTTAGAAGAGACTGGGTAGAAAAGTTTGTCTCAGTGAAATGAAAGTGAAATAATCAGTGTGCGTGTTTGTGTTGGACACCTGTAGTGCAGGAGACACAATGTTGTGGAGAGAAAATATAAGAAGTTAAGTTTGGGAAAGGAACAAAGAGACGAGATGAGAAGAGAAGAATCTACTGGGTCGGCTCTAAAACAATATCAATTAATATTGCAATATAATTTTCATCAATAGCAATATAACAAATGTCCAATATCTTTATACATCGCTCTATATACATTGTGCAAACACAGTGGTGAGGTTTAATTTATAAAATGTTTGCTGTTTATCAAGTGTAAAATTCTGCTCATAGTTTAAAACCAAGGAGCATGAATCACCAATTCTTTAAATTTAAAAATAAATAATAATTTATCGTAATAATTATCAATGTCGACTGATACGAATTTTTAAATCTTTATATCATTTTTGTCCGTATCGCCATGCCCCACCAACACCATAATTTAATAGAGATAGAAAAAGAGTCAAACGGAGGGCAAGCTCACATAGGACAGGAAGGAGGTCATAAACAAAGGCCGCCGGCGATGATGGTGATGTGAGGGGCGTGGGTGGGATTGCAGGTAGAAGGGGGCGGGAGAGGGATTTAAACTGCCTGGGCAGATGGTAGTCTGGAATTAGATGTCAGTGGTCAACTAAACCCATTGAAAGGCCACCACTGAAATAAGAAACACACTGCTGAAAAAGCCTAAAGCTATACTTGAAAATCCACTTGAGGCTGCGTTCATAGAGTTGTCCTGAGCAAACTCTGCTAATCTGCTGGCTAATTCACCTAACCATTGTTTAAGGTTACATGATTTGTGGTTAATCAAATGCTTTCAATTTCACAAAGGTGTAATTAAAAAAGATACAGATAGCTTACAAGAGCCTCGAACTGCTTTTAAATGATTCATATTGTAGATTATTAAATTCCAGGATAAAACATCACAAAATCTGCAGAAAACTCAGATTATATTTATTAATGATGCAAAAGCAAATCCATACTGTAGATCTTTGCGGAATGTCAGACCCATGAGAGAAATAAGGATCTGGGGGTTCATTTCAGTCAAATGCTCAGCCAACTTAAATCCGGCATTAACAGAATTAACCCAGTCGTCCACAGTAGGAGTGTGCTCCCCCTGCCCTCCTTATCTCTCACCTTCTTACTGTCAAGTCAGACATTCAATTCTCCTGCCATCGTCCACACACAGGTACGATTTCTTCACGTTTTGGATCATTTTGTCCAAGTTATTAACTGAGCAGTCTTAACTATTTCATGTTTTCTTCAGGAGATTGCTTCACATTTCTAAATCATATTTCTTTTTCAGTTGTTTGAAGGCTGCTGTTTGGGCTCAGAAGCAGAAGTCAGACCAGTCAAAGAGAATCTGTGCAGACAGAGGAGACGGTCAAGTGGCACCAGAGAGGAAACTTCCTGAAAACCTCGAGTGGCAAATACTTGCCAGGGAGTTTGACAGAACTGATCAATAAGAGCAACTACAATGGGAAATACCGTCAGTAGCGCATTATCAAAGGAGATCCTGGAGGACCTCAAGCTCACCACCATATTCACTGAAAACGAGATAAGCCAGTGGTACGAGAACTTTCAGAAGCAGTGCCCGACTGGCCGCATCACACCGGAGGAGTTTGAGCAGATCTACACCCGCTTCTTCCCCGACAGTGATGCCAAGAGCTACGCACGGCATGTGTTCCGCTCCTTCGACACCAACGATGACGGCACTTTGGATTTCAAGGAGTACATCATTGCACTGCACATGACCTCCACTGGCAAGACGACCCGAAAACTGGAGTGGGCCTTCTCGCTGTTCGATGTAGACAAGAATGGATACATCAACAAGACGGAAGTGACAGAGATCTGCCAGGTGAGAGTGATTCATGAGGTGGTGTTTAAAACAGAAGTGGCTTGGTTTTTGTTTGACTTAAACCAGATAACATATTCACTTTCTATGTTATGATATGATTTGTCTTGTTCTTAACATTTCCCCATTCTGACAGATCATGATATCCTATTTTGGATTTTCATTCCACATTAGTGGATTCACTTCAAAGAATTTGAAACAGAAAATTTATTTTGTCTTAAAATAGTGATTTTGTGTGTAAACAAACTCCATCCAAAGTTTAAGCCCGAGTCGTCAGGGAAGGGTTTTATTCTAAATCGTCAAAGCTCCAGTTGAAGTTAAATCTGCTGTAGCACAATAACATAATACTACATTTTAAAGCTACACTGTTCCACAATTCTCTGTATCAGTGTGGATTTGGTTTAACTCTGTGTTTCATTGACTCTGAGGTTTTCCTGTTATTTCTCCCTTTGAGATCCGTGTAAGATGTGTATTTGTTGTATTTGTTGGAAAGTGGTCACCCTCCTCAGGGTATGTAGGTCTCAGTCTTGATTGCCTGTCCAATTATCCGGCCTATTTGAGCCTCCTGTTAATCTCTGTGATTACAGGTTTAGCTCTCAGACAATATAGGCAGTCACACCCTTAAGCAAGGCTACTGTTGAACTGCAGATCTCCCAGAGAGTCTCATCATTCCTGAGTCTAATCCGCAAGTCTTTTATCCACGAGGCTCTCACTGGTGACCTGTGGAATAATTGCTGGCTATTACTGTTTATGTAAACACAATTCAGTTTGAGGGAGGTTCCCTTATTTACTGTTTTAAGGCGAATGATATAGAATTGTAAGAGGTTTAGACAGATCAGTCAAGAATCCAGCTGGCATTGTAATGGGATTGAATTCCTGGCCAACTGGCATCATGTTTACAACCACTGCGCAAAATAGCTACTTTTCAAAGCCCTTCGAGAAGTTTACAAACCTGCAACAAATTAGATAGATTCTAATCTGTAAAACACTCCAGACATAGAAAAACACACATCAGTGATATGAAGAGGAACTCGCACATACACTACACCCCAATTTAGAAATCTGTGAAATATATGAAGAATAGGGAATATAAGTGAGAAAGGCAGAAATAGCCAAACTTGTTTATAAAAAAAGTATATTATCCTACACTAGTAGGCCAGACAAAGGTCCAAACAGGGTGAAGTGTACTCCATTTGAGTGCCAGCGGCCTTTTCACACTTTGTTTTATTTTCATAATTGCAACCTCACAGCCTTGTTGTCTGCGCGCTCACAGTTTACACTGAACCACATGATCTGAGGGGCAGGATGGAGGGAGAGACCAGAGAGAAAAGAGATGACATCTTTGGCCTGTGGCCTGAGTCTTGGCACTAATCCATGTTAATCTAGGTGTCTTAAATGTGGGAGATAAGTTCTTCCTCTCTAAGTGGGACACACACTTAAAGGCCTGAACCTAAAGTGCACAGTCATTTACAATCTGCTGGATTCTAAGTGGCCCACCACATATTAACCATCTCTGAAAAAATGACACATGGGTCGTAATGCTTTCTGCTGTGGGCTGATTGTAGTGACGCAGCCTGTGGACTTAATTAGAGGCTACTTGGTTGTATGCGGCCAGATTTCTCAGATTTAACAGTGAGTATAGTCATGAGGACAAAATCCTAAAGCTCAGATAAATCAAAAAATGTGTTTAAACAAGGCATTAATTGATTTAATGGAGCTCCGAGCTTTCTCATTCGTTCTTCAGGCTCATGTGCATCTTGCCTTGGGTTGTTTTATGTGGCCTGTTGAGCTTCCATACATTATTTGTGAGAGAAATGATGCAGCATTATCACCCATCTTATACCCAACCCCTCTCAGGCTATATTTAAGCTGATCCCCAAGGAGGAGCAGAGCAAGCTACCGGAGGATGAGAGCACACCCGAGAAGAGAGCCAACAAGCTGTGGGCTTATTTTGAAAAGAAAGACAACGGTATGGGGGAAAAAAAAAAACGCATGCAAACATCATGTACCATACATACATTATGCCACTGCAGTGTGTGACAGACCACTGTGTGCTTACCACTCATATTAGAAAGATCAAATCTGTGTAAGCTCCTACTACCTTTCCTCAGCAGCTGTTCCCCCACTCTGTAGCGAAGATTACATTTTACAATCTGCTGTTTGGCTTAACAATAATACAAGTAATAAATCCACCTGGGAGCACGTCCCCAGTCACAGCATGACTTGTGTAATGCAAGATTTACTATGTACGTACCGGCCGTGGACTATGAAACCTTAAGCGACTCCTCTCCATTGCATGCTACTGTTACACACACACACGCACACACACGAGATAAGACCAGATTTCTTAGCTTAGATAGAGTCGTTATTCAACCTCATGTTTACCCCTCACTCATTGCAGTTTGTCTACTTCTGACTATCACATCTCCCTGTTCTTTCTTTTTTTCTCTGCAGAGCGACTGGCTGAGGGGGAGTTCATAAAAGGAGTGATTGAAAACGAGAATGCAATGCGTCTTATCCACTATGAACCGCTCAAACAGTAAAAGTCCATCCTTTCCCCTCTTCTTATTTCACTCTGTAGGCTCCATACTGAAACTTTTGTTTTCCTTAAACAAAAAAGCCTCATACATTTCCATCCTCTTAAACCCACTCAACTCCTCTGTGTAAATACTCCTGTCTGCAGTGTCTTGGTTGCAACAAACTTTTCCGTGAATGATGTGAAACTGTTTTATTAATGCTTTATCAATGCATTTATATTAAATAGAGGCCAATAGAGGAAGAATGATGGCTAAGTGTTTGAAAAGAGTACAGACATAAAGAGGAATAACTCTGGTGACTATATTAATGCAGAATATATATCTGGGGAAACCAATCGTTAATGACATATAAGATTGTTAGCATGTTTAAGCTTTTTTACAGTGTGTCCTAGTAGAGGTGGTAGCTCACAAGTGTTCTACTCTATTCACTATTTAATAAATAAAAGGTTTTCTCATACATCCATGGTTGGAAAATTAATTTATTCATTGCTCCCAGAAAAACAATTAATTCTTCGTTGACCTAGAAACATACGGTGTAATACAAATGCTGGTGGTTGAAAAAACATGGCGCCTTATGTCTTAATATTTCTGTTGCAATCATCCCGAGTGTGCACACCTACAGAAGTTTAAAGTCAATGGAGGAACATTTATTTGATTTAAAAGAAAATTGTTTCCTGTATCATTTTAAGAGGAACATGCAAAGTAATGTGCACTTGTTTCCCTGAAAGTGTGATGTTGTCATGCAGCGGAGTGTTTTAGTCAGCGGGCGTGCTGGCCTGTGTTTCTCTCCAACTTCCATTCTGACCCCCCGCAACCTGCCCCCCTCCCCCTCCCCCCCTCTCCATCCCTTCACATGCCTTCCATCTCCCCTCGCTCTGTTCCTCCTCCGCCTCCTCTCCATCCAACTCGGGATTACTGCTTTACACATAATCTTCTGTTCAACATCAGAGAGCAGACTTTTCAAAATCTCTGTAATCTTTCTATCTCTATGTGTCTGTCTTATGGGTTTGTCTGTGCAACTGCAGAGAGGCTGCGTTTGTCCCAGCTTCTGGTGTCCATGCGCCAAATCCAAATGTGTGTATCGGTCCAAAGTTTGTCGTAGAGAGAGAAGACATGTTGAGTGTGACACTCAGATTAATGAGAATACAGTATATTGTATGTTTACTTGTAAAGGAAAGGCTGTTCTGTTGTGTGTCAATGGGAAAAAAAAACATCCATCATGTTTATCTAATTAAATGATCTTTGATGACTCATCCTGACATTTTGCATGTTAAACAATAAAAGAACAAACATTTCTATGCAGGTACATATAAAGACAGATACTCTTTCCCACCATGAGGCACTGATGAATACAGAAAACATGCACATTAGTGTGACCTATACATACAGTGTCATCTTTATTTGTGGATTTCATTGTCCTTCAAGCCTGGTTTGTATGTATGTTCGCTGAAAGTCAAAGTGGCGGAAAGGAAAATCATCTGTTTGCATCGACCCATGCTCAGTGACAGAGTTTTTCCTTATTTAGTTTTTCAGCCCCTTTCAGTTGAAGCATGTAACAGATTCCCTAACAAGGTGAATCCACTCGGCCCACGACCACGTCCATCTCATCCATCTCTCTCTCACAGTCTTCACAGCCCTCTGGTCCACAGCCTCCCACCAATACCAGCGTCGGTACATCCCCGTTTCCCATTCCAACAACGCTCCCGTTCTGGGCCCACGCCACGTCAATCATGCCGTCCGGACACTGCAATAGGCCACTGACAGAGTAGAGGCCGCCCCCTGTGACAACCTCGTCATAGGCTGGAGCGTGAGTGGCGGCTCTCGCTTCTTCCAGTCGTAGCCTCTGTTTGCGACGGAGCTCGATGATGGTCTTTGTGTAAGAGTTGAGGGTGACCACGGCTGCCCCCATACAGCAACTGAAGGACACCCAGGCAAGACTAGGAGCAGAGGATATATAGAATATATATCACTACATAGGTGCAAATCAAATCCAATCAATTATCAATAATGGCCAGACACCTACGCAAATGACCAGCCGTAGTCCCAGGACTGAGGCCTCCAGTCTTTGGGGCCCACAATGACTGTCATCTGAAAAACTGTGGTGTACATCATATGGGCAACCATCCCAAGAAGACCTACATGGAAGTGAAACCAACAAAAAACAGACAGAAGAAAGCTGTAGATTACAATAAAATAGCAGATGAGGGGAGAGAACCAGAATTACTGAAAAGATATATAGAGGAAGGGCTGATATTTAAATGACAAAATACAGAAAGATCGAGGGTAACATCGTGTCTCACCTGATAGCACAGTACAAATCGCTGCATAGGCATTGATTTTGAGTGAGTGCATCTCTTTATGAGAGCACAAAACCTCCAGCCACATCAGTAAGAAGCCCATCCCCAGCAGGCCAATGTACGTAAACTCTGAAATGACCGACAGCCACAGCACACCTGCAACATGTGCAAACACATCCACAACGGACACACACACACTCATCCATTTAGAAAACTTTGATAATGGTGTAGCAAAAGAAAAACTATTTAAATCAAATATTTACAGGGTAATAAAACTGCTAATTGATACATGACTCACCTTGGGTTTCCCCTGGCGTTAATTCTATAAAGCTGCGACATTTCTCCCCTGCCAAAAACATTTAGATATTTAAAGATGGAGATGGAAAACATTAAAACAATTTGAATTAATGTTATTAAAGCTTAACCAATGTTGTGGCCAGCATCAGGTAAGTGACTGGTCTGCTTTGTGGACTTACCGTCATTGTGCTTCTCACAGCTTTCCCAGAAGCCAGTGTGGAAGTATCTGAAAGCAAACTTGTCTTCACCCGTCTCCCAGATGTATTGCACTGCGTTGGCCAGCTGCCTCTGTCTGATCTTGGCCAGCTCCTCTCTCCTGGCTGGAGACAGTGTGCGGTTGAAGGGATTCTGAGTGGGACTCTCTGTGTGACAACACAAAATAAAAAATCACACAGAAAGGAACATTTTAAGGATCATTTTGTACCTGTTTATATTTGTTATAGATGATGCAGTTGGTGGTTCAGGGATAAAACACAGAAAGCACTGGGCAGAGGGCCGGACACAATCTCTTTGCTACAGAAAGACAAACACAGCCATACCCGCACCAAATCTGAATTCTGCAAACATATCCAGACTTGCATTTCCTTAGAATGTGGAGGTAACGGCACAAAACCATGCAAACATGAAGCAAACACACACACACACATACAGAACTGCATGTGCAGACAAGTAGATACGCAAACACAGAGTTGTATGCTGCCGTAATCACACTCACAACTCAAATATCTTAACAGGTTTGTTGACTCAGTTTTTTCTTTTGTCAAAAATGAAATGCACTTGAAAGTCAGAATAATAACTAACTGACACACACAGGTTCCATGCAGGTTGATAAGGATACGATGGAGATCCTAATAAAAATGATTTGTGTGCTCCAACCCATAACTCTGAATGTGAGAGGGAGGTGAGCACAACACATTTAATCCCAGCCTGGCCTTAAAAGTATCATGCCTCTGTTCACCTGCAGCTCTTCAGCCTGCACTTTGTCCCATTTGTGTTGTTGTAAATCAGGTTTAGAAGATTAAGCTAATTCCTCCACTAGCATTGGTAAATCTAAAATTTTTTGTACAAGTGCACAAAGTACAAAATGTTGCGATCAAAGTTGATTCTTTCACGCAGTGAAAGCTTAGGGAGCAGGTAGTGTAAACCTTTGGAGGCCCCTCACACTCCACAGATTAATATCAACCCATAATTAAATTCAGTCGCACTTAGATATGGGTAAAAAGAGATTAAAAGCATCCAAACCAAGCACAATCAGGTTTGGGGGGGAGAAGCCTGCAGTTTATCCGGCCAGATTAGTTTTTAGGTATTGGTTGTTACGCAAAGATCAAGAATTCAACACATATAATCAGGTTCAAGAGTCAAGGCCAAAATTTAGGTAGAGTCAACAACAGAAAGTAACATATTTAAAGACCTATGAGTTAATAAATAATAAAACATAATAACAAAGCAATGATACAAATGACATAATAAACTACAGTATACACACATACTACTGTATACATACACACAATCCAGTCCTACAAACAACCTGCAGTTTGAATTCTCCAGACAGTATTCAACTCAAGCACAAACATGTCAGCCTATGAGGCGTCAACACGCGTCATGGTTACTCAGAATGACGGTTCATGTCTTCAGCAGATTAAATGGTTGCGTTACAACAATGATCCTGCTGAATAAGAGGTAACCTGTGCTTCACTATTTTAATGCCAAGAAAATAATCACATTACTGGTGACATAGGTACAGGATGAATCCATGAACTGAATGCTGGGAATAATTAATTGTTAAAATTAATTGGGATTAGTCACCAGGAGACTTCCTGGCTCATCATTCATCTAATATGACTGCAGTTACGTCCTGAACGCTGTAGCTGTATCCACTTGTTCTGAGCAGACAGGACGGAAACTTGGTAATTTCTCCTTTTGGCAAACTCAAATCTTTATGCTGTGGATGCTCCTGTTCACCAGTGGAGAACATTAAGAAACACATTTACTCAAGTACAAAATAACCGTTTTAAAGTATTTTTACTGCACTTGAGTATTTCCATACAAATACTGCTCTTTTACTTCACTAAATGTACTAAACAGATACTGTAGTGGAGTGTTTACATTAAAAACATGTGATCAGTTTGGAGTAAGTTACATAGTTAAATGATCTCAATCTCAACCAGATACAACATTACATTGTAATACTATCTCAAAAATAATATATATTGTATAATATATTCTTTTACATGTAATGGAGTACTTTAACATTCTTGCAATGCTTTTATTAACATGTATTACTTGTAAAAACTCAATTTTGCTCAAAACTGGCGATTTATTAATGCTGCATGTATGAGATGTGTTTTTGTTCAATTTAAAGTTGCTTATGGTTATTGAACCTCCACACCAATTGGATAAACAGATCTATTCAAATTGTGTGTCTAAGGGCCAGTGATAAAGAAAACGCAGCTGTGGTTGCAGCATATTTAAGACAGAAGAATAAAGTAACAAAAAGCACAATGAAGCTGCACAAAATGCTTTTTGATGTGCAGAGGTGTCAGTACCTGTGGTGTAAGGCTCGCTGTTGTTCTGACCACAGTTCTTCATTTTGACAGGAGACAGGCAGAGGGGCTTGACCACCTTGTGAGTGCCCTCACACCAGTAGGAGGTGCAGAGAGCCAGGATGGACAGGGCCAGAGCCAGAGTGGTCAAGGTCAGGGAGAGCAGGGAGCGGGAGCGACGGGACATACTCTCCAGCATGGCCACAGGGGGATGGTTTGAGAAAGAGAGAGAGGGCGGGGGGGGTGGGGGAGAGAGAAAGTAAGGCAAAGAGAGAGCAGGAGGGGGAGAGTGCACGTGGAGATAAGTCAAACAGGGTAGAGGGTATGAAAACAGCCACAGATTGAGCCAGGAGGGAAGGACAGATGCTTTGTGGAGGTTTTAAGAGGTGATGAGCTGCCAGGTTTGAATGGAAAGCAAAGATAAATGTGACGTAACAGCACAGAGAGGAGATAACAAAATAAAGCTGACAAAGAGAAACAGTGAACGACTAAAAGAGAGGACAATGAGGAGGGCGGGAGGGGAGGATAAGATGCTCTGAAGTTGATACACGTGGGAGAGGACAGATGGAAGAAAAAAAAAAGAACATGAGAGGATTTAGGTAGACGATGGTTCACGGTAGGAGAGAGGAGTGGGCTGCAAGGACATAACTGTGTGTGGCACTGACAACTTCAATGCCACATCCTTCTATTGATCCCTGTGATGAATGATGTGGCCAGTGCAGCCAGTGGACTCAACACATGCAGACACAACACATGCCCTTTTATGTGCATGTGTGTAATCAGTGGGATCGTTCCGAATAAGCAGGATGTAAGTTAAAGATACTACAGTTTAAGATTAAAGGTTGTGCACCTAAAGTGGAGATAGAGGGCATCCTTTAAACTGATTCATTATCTAACAAGAGGGTGCAATTGAATGGTTCAATGGAGCACACAAGGACAAAAACAAGGTGTCCATATGGTGACATTTAATTTTGTTAAATGTCCGTGCGAGTCATTACGCTGCCTGAGGTCACATCGGTTCTCCACTTGCCTACAAGGAGGGGTTATGGAAGAATAAGTAACATGTGGCGGCTAATGGCTTCCTGCTTCCTGATTTGCACACCACCGCTGGACCCTGAGCGCAAAGACAAGACAGAGGGGGGCAAAAACAAGAGATTACTTTTTTGATGAAATTATGGATTAGCCACAGATCTAAATGAAATTTTTGCAAGTAATCCCTGATAATCTGCTTTAATCTGTTTGTGTTAGGTGTATTTTAGTGTGAAGTGCACTCTGACCATGTCTGTTGTCTCCCTCACTCTCTCTTTCTGTCATGCAATGTTTCCCTGTCAGCCCAGAGCCCCTGAAATATAACAGAGCACATTCAAGCAGGGAAATTTGGTCAGATGACGGATCTGCATTGGAATTGACACACTCATGCTGGTTGAAATATTGAAATATTGTTGACAATAAAAAAATTCGGCATTGTGACATCTATAGCATTGTATTACAAGCTATTAGTCAAAAGTCTGTCAATGCTGAAAACTAAAAATCTGTGTAAATGTGAACAAGTTTTTTCTGTATCAGTGTTAACTTGTATATAATCATTGGCTATGACCCTCTTTAATGTCTGGATTATGTGCATTCTGAGGTGTTTGTAATGTAAACATACATTTACTTTATTATTATTACTGAAACTGTAACACGACTCTCAGCATTAGCTGAAAAATTGATAATAACTGAGTTGGTAATTACTCATTGCTTCTTCTTCCTGGTAAAGGTAAAATAAAAGCAGCTTGTCGATGTCTTCTTATATTAACAATCAATTAGAATTACAATTCATTGAACATCCGCTGTGTCCAGTAGAAGTAAATAGAGCAGCATGAGGAACAGGACGGACATTAATCCAGTCAAGATTCTGCTACAATTACCAACATCTGTCAATGTTTTAATTTCTCAAGAAAGCTTACATTTTTGAACATCCACTGAATCCTGTCATAAACATGAGATTTTATATTTTGGATGGAATAAGACGTTTTTCAGATTGAAAACTGGACGCAGATGTTTTTCTTTCTTTAAACTTCATTCAGTGGTCATATATCTTAATAGATCAACAGGAGATCAATCTATATAAAGCAAATAAGGAAAGCAATATATGCTTTAGTTTAGTTTTATTAAATTGTGATTATTCTTAGCTTATATGTTGCAAAAATGTAAAAAATGTCTTTTACAACTCCAGAGCCTGAGCTGAAATCTTCATATTACATTTTATCCAGACGTCACTTCAAAACATAAAGCTTTTCAGATATAGACAAGAAAAGCATGAAATCATCACATTTGAAATGCTGGAAGAAGCAAATGTTTTTTTCTCGCACTTTTGCCTCTAAAATTAAAAAAATATCAAAACATTTGCCAATGAAATTTCTGTTCTTGGTTATTAATTTTAGTTTGGATTACATTAAAATAAGCATTGAGTGGTGCCTACCAAAGTGTCCCTGTCATAGCTCAGGTCAAACATTAAGTAACTACCACAGCAACACAACAGTTTGAGTTCTCACAGTCCTCTGAACCTACCGTCCTCGGCTATCTCTGCCTTGTTCGAGAGCCCTTAATCAAAAAGCTCCTTAAGAACTAGATTTTAGCTGCTCCATCTTGAACAGATTCTCTGTGCCACTTCGTTCATCTTTCCCTCTGTACGTGTCACCAGTTTTCCTCCTCCAGTGTGAGCATCAGTGACCCTTACCTCTCTGGGCACACTCCCCATTAAATCCTCCTGGCCAATAGTAGGATGGAGATGCACGACTGATGGAGCAGCTGAGTGTCTGTCTCCATGCCACTCTACTCTCGTTTCTGTCTTTCTTGGGAATTTATGTCACAAACCCATCCTGAATCATGTAATCCCTCTAAGTCCATCTGTTACTGCAGTGCCCCCTCTCTTCCTGTGTCTGTCCCTTTGCAGAGGTGATTCCATCTCAACCTCCGGAAACTTTTATCACAGGTGAAAGTCCCGCTCAAATACCACTTTGTCTTTCACCTGATATTTAATTATTACACTATCAATAATTATTACACAAGAGGATGGATGAAACTGTGAGCCAACATCCATATGAGCTGACTCTTGCTTGTGATTTTGCCCTAATCAGCCCCAGCACTGTGCAAAGCCAAATCCTGTTGTTGCGTGTGCCACATTTGACACCTAAAAAAAGAAATGAAGAAAAAAAAAAAAAAGAGAGAGCTTTACATTGTCACAATAATTTATTTACAGTATGTATGTACACAAAGCTTAGATGAAAAAAATGGCAACGAAGCAAAAGCAACAGTGTGCATGTTTGGAGGATGAATTCAAGAAAGGAGAGGTTAAAAAAAAAAAAAAAAGTGGAGAGGGAGTTTAACCCCAGGCTTGAGATTTACAGTAATGTAGAACCAGCTTTCCATCACTACCAAAACACTGAAAGAGACAGAGAGAAAATACATAAAGTTATTAAATTAAATACAGAAGTGATGTGTCCGAATAGTTCCAAAATAACTTGACTGATACACGCTTTCAGATTAACTGTCTGCATTAAAAAAGTCATCTTATTCGATTGTATATATTTCTAAAATTGTAGAAAAAACTAAATAATTTCACACTTTCAGATGTTAACTGTCTTCATTAGTCAGCCTGAAAAAAGAAACAGGTTTTATCAGAATTTGAGCTGTGAGCACAGTGGGATGATCAAATGTCCTCTGAGAGTTGTGGCCTTTGAGGTCTTTGCTTTTACTTATCAAGACATTAATCAGTGGTCAAGGATTTTGGCATGTGACACATGGAGCTTCCAATTTATTGCCCCCTCTGCTGGTTACTGTAACAAATGACCCATCGACTACAATGACCTGGACCTCATTCTAATATTTTATTATATCAACATGGTAATGGAAGATATATCATGTACTTACATCAAAAAGGATTCCTACGTCTTGATCCGGTGAGGGTGCAAAAGATTGATTAACATAGATGAACTGAAAAAAACAAAAAACATTACAGACATGTTAAGACGTCTCTGCTCAAGTCATGATGTTTGGAGAAACACAAGCCGGTTAAAAACATATCTCTTACCAGTTGTTCACTGGCATCAAGCTTGAGGAAACGAGAGATGAACTGGGACAGGGACTGTACCGTCCTCCCCCGGTCAACTGCCCACTTCTTTGTTTTCATTATAGGAGTGTCTCCCACTGCCCTCAACAGCACATCAACTATAAAAGTGGAGAAAATTAAAGTGAAACAGCTGCAGTCACCCAGAACCGGGCAAATCCAAACTTCAAATTTCTCAAGAATTGCTTGCTCAATCCATTGATGCACATCATCCAACCCCCAGTAAAAAAACAGGAACTATGACGCAGGTCTTCTATAGTAAATAATTGGATGCTGGGACGATGGTGAAATGTATTCTACAGAACCTGCATGAAATGACGGGAAACTTGGATTTAATTTTAAACTTGAATACCAGTAGCGCTGATTTCCCTTTTTCAGTGTATAATGATATGATTCTCAAAGGAAAGTTTGTGAATGAGATTAAAATCTTACACGCAAAGCTCTTTAAATTAATTTGTTGTATTTAATGTTATGAGTTAATAAAATGAATGAATCAAAAAAAGCCTTGCAAAGAAAAAAACTTTAGATCATCAAGGAATTACAAACTATTCTCTGTTAATATTTCATCTTATGCTGTTCAGATCTCATGTTTAAGTTGCAGCTCAGATTATAAACATTGTACACAAACAACATAACTGTGGCCTAATACACAAAAGTGGAGTTTAAATTCCGCTCATATATAAAACAGTTTTCAATACAGATCAATTTTAAACAGCTATAGAGAAATAGTTATTAGCTATGGATAAAAGTAACTTAGAATTAGAATCATAGTGAGATAACTGAATACAGTTCTGACACTGATTTGTGTTTCAGCAAATAACACAACATCTTAGAATGTATCGTTGCATTGTTTTCTGAAAACGATCCTCAATTATTAAGTGTTTATTTGTGTTTAACAAAGCAGTGAATAATCTGACCTGGTGTATAATCAGAATCAGCTAACGTTGTAAAAACTGGTGTAATCACATTAAAAACGTCTTTATAGGAGCAGCAGCAACAAAATTAACATGTTTCTGCTCATAGCAACATTTAGGTGCGATATAACTTTTTAATTGTTCATTAGATGTTTGCAAATGACTTAAAGAAAAGATAGGACGAGGACTTCAAGTGAAGTGTTGCTGAGTATTTAAAGAGATTCATGAACAAACTTAAGTTAAAACCCAGAACGTGGAATAAGATATTTGTCAGTGAAAACGACAGGTCTGCAGTTTGCAGCTAACTAAGACTTAAGAACTCAGGTACCAGACATGGCGTTGCTATCGGCATTAGCAGTAAATATTGACAATATTTTTCTCTTGGTAAACATTAGCATTAGCCGTGCCCCAACCCGGTAGTGGCACATGTGAAGAAGCTGAATGCTTATTGGCTGTCCTGACAACAAGCGGCCGCGCTATTGGCCAAACGCTCTGTGACTTGTTCCTCACGTCACACACCCTGAATCGTCTCCTTAGTGAACAACAGTCCTCGTCAACAGGAGGTTGGTTTCATAAAAAACGTTGCTTACTCTTTTTCTTGTCCTCGCTTGTCGCTGAATCCTCTGACGGAGGCTGTGGCTCCTCTTTCTGCGGCTCCGTCGGTGACTCCGCGGTGTCCGACATCTTCTCGTTAGCACTGCGGGGTTAGCTGGTGGCTTCGGAGCAACCCGGGCCGCTATTGGTTCAGAGAAACATCAATCTCAAAGACTCGCGTTCCTATTGGTTAATACCTGAGGGCTGGCGTTGGAGCTCTTCCTCTTAGCCACATGCTAGGTTGGTTCTTGTTTTGACTTTGGGATTTGTTGATGATGAAGTTTTGACCTGACTAGTGCAGTTGTCACTATATTTGATTCATCTTGTGATTTAGGTTTTCGCTCAACAGTTGGTGCATTTGTCACTTTTCGAATAAAACACGTGTCTCATGTTACACAGGAGGGGTCACATGGAAATAATACTTGAACCTGGCAGCTGAACTCTGGACTCACGTCTCCCCACACTTGCAGCAGTCAGACAACAGTAAGTGCTCATGATTTAGTTCATTACAATCATAGTCAAGTTTATGTTTAGCTGTTAGGTTTCATCGCTAATAACACCGTGCTGCACCGTGGAGGAAATATCTCTGCGAAGGAAAACAAACCTGTTTCCTCCTGAGGTGTAACTCAATGCACCATTGTTATAAAAGAGATACTCTGAGGTTTTCATTGTCCCTCACCATTTTGTAAATAATGTTCAAACACAGCCCGAATTTGCATCTACATATTTGTTTTTAATTCTGTGTTTGATGTTCTGTGGCCGATCATCCTCATCACACACTTTTAATTGATTATAAACAACATGGCACATCAGTCCAGGTATCCTCTGAAGATAACTTTCCTGTGACCCTGCTCTTTCAGTGGCAAGCATCGGCAGACTTTCCACCAAGGATACGGTCCTCCTCCTGTGTGACATGCAAGAGAAGTTCAGACCCAACATCTACCAGTTCCCCAACATCGTCAGCAACGCAGCCAGACTGCTCCAGGTTGGTTCCACTCGCCGCCACACCAGTTGCCAGCCTGTTAGCAACCACGCACAGTACATCTGTTAACTCTCTCCTCTGGCTCACAGGCCAGTCGTGTCCTGGGCATCCCCCCCATCTTGACAGAGCAGTACCCCAAAGGTTTGGGTCCCACAGTGCCAGAGCTGGGAGCAGAGGACCTGAAGGCTCATGCTAAGACTTCATTCACCATGATGATAGAGGAGGTGGAGAAGGAGCTGCAGGCACTTGGAAATCCCAAACAGGCTATTCTTTGTGGAATTGAGGCACACGCCTGCATCGCGGTAAGATTACAGCCTCTTTTGTGCGGTTTAGCTGTGGAAATGTCACTATATCCTTCTGTGCATCATAAAATAGACAAGTGGAGGCTCTTTGTTTGCAAGTTACAAATATGCTCATGTTGACAGCTGTGTTTATCTTGTACTCATTGTCTGCTTTTATTGACGTGAACATCACCAAGCTTCAGTGAAGCACCCATTCCTGTGTTGCTTACCTTTGAGGAACTAATTGTTGGTTTGAGTATCCAGTTGTTTTTCCTACAGCTCTAAGACAAACTTTAAAATATCATTGTGTCATCACTGATTCTTAAATCAATTTGTAATAAAACAGTTTTATTACAATTTATTGTTGTTTTCCAGCAAACGTTTTTCATCCTATATCCTGCAGAACTTAGTGATTTCTGAAACCTCTGATTTCTAAGATAATTTTGAGTAGATTGATTTTATGTAATTATGGCTGCATAAAGAAACTGTTGCTCTTAGAAAATGACAAAAATTTGGGGTATGAGGGATGTGAGGTTATGACAGATTATTCAATTTTGTAGTTATGCTATAATCTAGTTATGTAAGTTTTCAAGCGTAGTGTGTTACAGTGATTCCACAGTTGTAGTTAATGAATGATGAGTCTTGTGAAAAAACATGTCTCACTCGTCTGCTCTCTTTCTTAGTGCACGACCTTTGACCTGATTGAAAGGGGAATGGAGGTTCATATTGTAGCTGATGCCGTCTCATCCAGAAGGTATCTTACAACATTACAGCTTTTTTTCATTTGTGTGTAAATTGTAGATTGTGTAATGACAGACTTTTGTTTCCCCTCTTACAGTCAGACAGACCGATTGTTTGCTCTGTCACGACTGAAGCAGAGCGGAGCTTACCTTACCACCACAGAGGCTGTTCTGCTGCAGCTGGTCCGAGATGCCAAACACCCCAACTTCAAGGAGGTGCTCACTACTCTGTTGCTTTCATGAGTTACTTTTATTTTGTTAAGATGTGCCATGAATATATGACAGACGAAGAGAAATCTGGCGTGTCCACAGACACACAAACATTTAGCCTAATAAATTCTGCAGCTGCCTACAACCTTGATCACTGACACAGTTGACCAGCAAGTGACTGTATACCAGGGTGTGGTGAGACACATGCCAGAGTCATGCATTTTCTTAAGCTGCCATCTTGTCTTCGCTAACGTAGCAAATGTGGTTTCATTCTGAGCACGCTGCCTGTCTAAATATATAAAGCAACTAATATATTTTATCAACTTTATCGGCAGATCCAGAAGCTCTTGGCTCATCCGTCCCCTGACACCAACCTCCTTGCCTTCTTCAGCACTCTGTGAAGAGACCACCACCTGTTCTGTTTCATAAACACTATACATAGAAATACAGGATGTTACTTCTTCCATCATACAGATGAATAGCTTCAATAAAGTTATACTGCTACATACAAGTGCTTTTGTGTTTTCTGTATCAAACCCTTGTGCTGTGTGACAGGATGAGGAACAAAACTTTCAGGTTTGTTTCTCTGTTTTCTCTGAGAACTTGACACGCCCTCCGCTAGAGAAAATGTTGGTGAAAGCTGAAGAGGTGGGACTAGCTCACATAGGCAGGGCACAAAGAGTGAGGTCACATAGGAGGAGGAGCGAGTTATGTCATTCTGGTAGTCAGTGGGAGGGGGGGGGAAGGGAGGGAGAGAAAAAGGAAGCTCTCGGATAAGTTTTTGTGTGTATTCCTTCAAAAGTACACAAACTTTAACAAGCCAAAGGTATGAATTGAGGCCTTGTGGGGATCAGCGTGATGAAGACAAAGATCTGAAGAGCACGACGGGAACCAGTTTGCAGTTGTGCACAGCTGATGACATCAAATATTAACACTTTGTAAGGCCTTGGGCCTCGAGTGCCTACAGATAGGTAAGCAAGTCATTCTTCTTCCTCAGAAACTGGAGAATATAAGTGGAACTGGGGCAATCATGTGTAGACACCTTCATGCAATGTCAGCGCTAGTGAATAGTGTGTCCTGTGTGTGAACCTGTTTGACACTGACTGGAAGTACAGAAACAGAATGGTTGACAGTGTTACATTACAGGCTGACGAGTCTACTACAGCATTTCTCTGTTTCCGTCATTAGAGCCCAAGATAAACAAAAAGTTAAAGACATTTTGATCCAGCACCTCCTCCTCTAATCCCTCAGACCCTGGACACAAGAGACAATGTCCTCTGACTTGGACTCAAGCCTCACTAGTATTGACTGGCTGCCTCAGCTGGGAATCAGCAGCTTGCGCTCGGGGAAAGAAAGAGGAAGTGGAGTTGGAGAGAGGGAAAAGAAGAAAGACAGAGGGAGGGAGAGGGGAGATTTCCTACCCTCTGTGCAGGACCCCTCCCCTTCTAACTGTAAAGGGAAACCCCCTCAAAGCTATGCTACGCTCATTGCCATGGCGATAGCAGCTGCACCTGAGAGGAAGCTGAGTTTGAATGACATCTACACCTGGATCAGTGACACTTTCCCTTACTACAGCCGAGCAGGCCGTGGATGGAAGGTAATCTTTACAGTACAGCGACATATTGTTAGTAACTCAAATATAAGCATGTTTAAAGTTTGGTTACACATTTTAAAAATGTCTCAGCAGCTAATGCAGGAGTGACTTATTTCATCATGTGTATTGTTAACAGAACTCCATCCGCCACAATCTGTCTCTGAATAAATGCTTCAGGAAAGTTCCTCGGCCACAGAGCGACCCAGGAAAGGTGAATTACCCTTCATGTACTGATGTTATATTGGTATTTGCACCATGTGAGATGAAAATTGAAAGAGCGTAAAGTTACTTGTACTGTGTTTGTAGGGTTCCTATTGGACGATGGACGGACCTGCAGAGGGGAATCAAATGCGAGTACCTAAACGTCCATATCCAGAGGAAGACGAGGAGCGGCAGGATGTATGTAATCTTCACTGACTCAGCCAATATATGTTATGCAATTTAGTATCTTAACTTTACTTTGAGAAACAAAAGATTTGAACTTAAATACATTTCCAAAGCAGGTTTACTACAAAACACTTATTACCTCCACCAATGACGTTAGTTTTTTCAACTGTGTTTGGTTGTTGGCAAGATTAAACTGCTGAAGTGATTTCCATGAATGTTTGTGGATGGAGGGGGCATGACCCAAGGAAAAAAACATATTTTGGTGCGAATAAGAGCAATCCAGGAATGTTTGGAGCCTTTCCTCAACATCGTGTGAGAATAGCCTACCTTGTGGATCTCTGTGAAAAAATCTGAAATGTTTAGAGGATTCAACAGATCCAAATAAAAATCCATATCTAGTGAATTTAAAAGAGAAAGTACTTTTATTTTTTTCTTTCCTGAAATAATGGCGTGACTTTGGGTCATCTGCAGAACACACTGTCGAAGGTTCTCATAGGAACAACTTTCTGCTAAAAGAAATGGCCCCTATGAAAACAGCTGACCATATGTACTTTGTCTGGACTGAAATCTGGTGGAGGCAGATGTCTCAAACCTGTTAACCTGTCTGGACAGAATTTAGTGAACATGTTTACATCTTCTTATTTGAGTAAACCTTTCAAAGTTTCTGTGTACTGCTACTTTTACTTAGAAGAGTTCTCTTTTGTCTTATAGGTTCCTGAAGTACGAGGGACCCAAGCGGACAGAGGACCCTCCCCTCATCCACCCCGAACGACCTCCCTCTCTGACCACCAGCTTCTAAACACGGAGCCACTGGGAGCCATCGAGCAGCAGTCACCCCGGTCTGCCTCCCTCTCTCCTCCCCCACGCAAGGTGGAACCACTCCCCTAACTTTTTTCAAACACAGACTTCACTGAATGCTTTTGAAATAAACATCATATCAAAGTGTCATCTTTTGTATTCACAGCAACCGTCACCCTACATGCCAAGCACCATCTCTCGTCCACCTGTAGCTACTCCACCTGCGGCCCCTATGTCCTCCATGAATTCCTTTCCACCTCCCTATCCACCTGGCACCATCGCTTGTGCTCCACCTCCATCTGCTGTCAACATGTCTACAGCTTCTCCAGCTGCTCCCTCCTTCTGTGTTGCAGCTCTGTCCTTTCCTGCTAATCCAGGACCTGTACCTGTTTCCACTTTCTCCTATTCTCCTAACGTGGCCCCTGTGCCTGTTTGCACAGTGTCGGCTCCCTCTTCAGCATCTGCTGTCCATTCATCTGTTGCCGCCCCTGTTGTTGTCTCATTCAACTCCTCCACTGATCCCCCACTGCGTTTCACCTTTGATGAGCTGAATTTACCAGACCTGTATGCATCGTTCAAGTCTCTGGTCAAGACGATGCGAGAGAGGGGAGGCTCTCAGTGTGAGTATGAGTTGTATAAATGACACATTGCACACATACAAACAGTCTGGATCAATAACTTCGGTTTTCTTTTCTGTCCAGCGGATGTTTCTCCCCTGACTACCCCACTCCACACTCCAACTCTGCTGCCACTGTCTCCTCACCCTCCCCCACCTCCACCACCTCCACCAGCTCCTCCAGCTGCTCCAGCTGTTCCACTTGCACACCCTCCACTACAATACAGTGAGTCTTATCAATGCTCAAATTGTTTTAAAGCCACAAAACACATAGATATTTTCATTGCTTTTTAAAGCTACCCTCCTCTCTTCCGCCTCAGCGGTGCCACCTGATTGGTTCAGCAACCCAGATTCTCTGAAGCAGAGCTTCCGCATCGCCAGCAATCTGGACTGGGCAAACATAGACCTGTCTGGTCACCCAGGTCTGTGCTCTTTTCCACTGTCTAATTAAAATAGTTAGTTCACCAAAATTGTGTTCTGCCTTTCCTTTGGAGTTGGTTTGGGTTTTATCTTGTAAAGAAATCGGCTGTTAGATCACCTCTCTGATGCTAACTTTGTCGATCGACCCTTTATTTCGATGGATCTCCACAGATAAAAACCAAGATAGTTCAAATGTTAGAAATGATTTTTACCTCAGTATAGCTACAAAACCAGGGTCCACACATTTTTCAAAATACCTTTGCAAATAATGTGACAACCTGAAGATTGACGCATCTGATGCTATTCTTTATTTTGGTGAACTGACCATTTTAAATGTGTATCTTTCACAACTCATCCAAACAAAACTTATCCAGACTGGATACTAACAATAATTAATGAGACCTTTGCAAAATGATAGAAACTTTTTTTAACGGTTCTCTCGATGAATTACTGTCTGTTAACATTTCCCTCATGTTCTGTCTCCAGACCTGCTGGAGAGCATGCGGCAGGCGGAGCTGTGTGACTGGGCCCTGGACCCGGCGATCTTCACCTCCCTCTGTGACTCTCTGAACCGCTTCTTCACTCAGAAAGGCATGATCAACTCTGGGAATAACTCCCCACTAGCCCTCGGCGCACCTCACCCCTTGCAAGCCGCACCCTTCACCTCCAATCTGCCTCCGACCCTCGCCAGCCTCACCCACCCGTCACCCCTCCCGTACGCTCCCACAGTTCCCCCTGCCATCGGAGCACAGCTGCCCAGGAGGCCTCTGCACATGCAGGGACCAGGCCTTCAAAGACCACAGCTGACGCAGCCTGCAAACACAACTGGTAAGAGCTGGAAACAGATGCATCAGTTTCTCTTTTGACATCTGAAGTTGAAGTTGCATGTTGTAGATGGACACCCCTCCCCTCCCCTCCCCCTTCCAAACATGAGAGAGAACCTGTGGTTGCTTCATTTGTCATAAAAACTCAAAAAGGGTGTAGTTTTTCCATTTTGAGCTGAGAGGTACTGCCCCTATGAAAGTTTTAAGTATTAAAATATGAAGGGCCCATTCTAGGGTAAACAAAACAACAATTTGTGCAATTTAGATGAAAACATCACTAGGATTATTTTATATTCAATTTCTGTCAATAGATCAATTTCACCTATATCCCACATACTG